GTTAGGTAATACTCTGATGTAACATTACATTAAAATTGCTAATAATTTTTAACCCAATAAGATTGACAATTTGATCTGGAGGTTGTATTTCGCAGAAAGTTCATTAGATTTAAGTTTCACCATAACAGATTTCAAGAACAATAATAAGAGACATAACAAACACAGAGTTCAATGTACAGGCAAGCATGTGATGGTATCATATGATTTAAAGTACCATAATCTTTCATGTTTTCTTATTATTGATATTGTTATTTCATGCCAGTGTGTTTGCCAAATTCAAGCTATGTGGGGACATGAAATGAATGGGTGAACCTGACATCATCATGTAAATGGTCAACTTAACGTGTGATCAAAATTTGTCCTTCCTCTGAAATCTTACTCAGGAATGCAATTTCGTCAGTGCCTAACAATATAACCGCCTCCCGGTTAGCTCAAATGGTTAGAGCGCCGGATTGTGTTGTGCGGGAGGTCGAGGGTTCGAGCCCCGGCCGGACCGATACTCATGGTCTTAAAATAAGTGAGGAGAATTTGCTACCTTTCTATAATAAAAAAATGGATAGATATTCTAGTCTTCTCGGATAAGGACGAATAAACCGTAGGCCCCGTCTCCTGCAGGGTTAGGGGTAGCAGACGTTAATTTCCCACGCACGAGATTACTGTGTAGTGGATGTCCTCCCCTGGGGTAGGATGGGTGGGAGTTGGCCTGAAAACCCCCATGGGGAGTGGTCAACTAACGCATGTATGTATGTAATATACCTAAAATATTCAAGCTTTTGTTTATTTTGGCCAGCTACTATGTGTATTGATCAGCACAACCGTTACCTCCTATAATCTGATAGGTTTCTAGAGTGATCTGTTATTGCTGAAACTACCAGTAGTTTACGTTTGTACTTGAGTTATTACTTTTGCACCAGTGATGCATGAAAAAGGCACCTAGCTGTTTTCAGCCAATCAAGAGTGTAATTGTTTATATATACCAGTATTGTGATGAAATAACCAAAACCAAACAAGTAAATGAAAAGGAGTTGTAGACTACCAAATAAAGCCCTAATACACATGTATTGTTACCAAGTTTAAATATCAATGCTCATCTGAACCATAATGAAGAGAATTTAGAAGACTGCAAAGCTTACAGGAAGTCACGAAATGTTAAGGTCTGAATAATCCTGGGCATTACTTGGAAAACATAATACTAATCGCATTTCAGTTGTAATATTAAACTACTAGGCTCCTATAAGTAATGGATTATAAGCATTGTAGAAAATCATTTGTGAAAACCAAAACACTACAACATTCCACATTTTGTGTTATCCAACAACTTGTTTCAATATTGGCAAGTAAAATACACATGAATAGAACATCATAAGCATTAAACTCCAAAACTGATCCTTAAAACGTAATAGGATATCCTTTGTTTTAGCAAAATTGTCATAAAAGCCAATCTTTGAAATTCCCATACTTACTTTTGTCGTTTTGAAATATGCTTCCGTGAATTTTCGGGCGAGGAGAATGCAACTACAAGACAACTTATTTCACTTCATGACACTTTCAGGAGGCTACCGACAGTTTCAAACAGTTTCAAACTCTTTTAGATACTCAGTGGTACAATCTACACCGATAGATCAAACCGATAGTAGATGGCTTGCGAGAGTGTATGGTGGGTGATTACCGGCATAATTCAATTTTTGATTTTCTGACATATTATTACATTTTTGCATAGTAATGAATATTTTGTCTGTTTGAATTTTCTGTTGGTTTCATCCATTTTCTGACAGAATTCAGAAATTTTCGTCTAATCAAATTTTCGGATAACCTAAACTTTCTGTTGATTGGAATTTTCGGGTTGTGTCAGGTTTCGGGGAGCTTTTCGAATTTCCGACTAGTTTAGAATACTTCACATCTCCGATTCGTTTCTGGTGAATTTTCTGCCAGTAGTTCTAATTTTCGGACACATTCAATTTTCTGCTACAACTTTTTCTCTAGTTGGCCTGGTGACTACGAGAAACCAGACCGAGGTACTGTTATTGTTGATCCAAGTTGGCGGATAGAGTGATGGCGCTTTCTCAACAAGAGCTGCAATCGTTCAGATACTTGTCAGAGTTTTACTAAGTATTATTCGGAAAATTGAAGGAGGAGGGCTTGACCCAAATATAGTGGAGGCCTTACACTTTAGGCTGGATTGACTGCATGGTTTAATAGCTCGTCTTGTTCATTTGTATGGAATCGATGATCAAATTGTTAACCTAATTGGGGGTGCACGGGATTGCCTTATTGGAAGTCAAGATATTTTTGATGTTTCATCACTTGCTACTGCCCTTAGTGGGCAACGCGGACGCCCAAGATATTCAATTCCCAGAGATCAGCTTGATTTTCTGATCGGTAGAAGCTTTACTGTTGTCGATATCGCAACTTTGCTAGGTATCAGTGTTCGGACTGTTGAAAGACGCTCGATCGAGTTTTGGTTGAGTGTGAGATTAATATACTGCAACACAGACAACGAAGAACTCGACCAGCTGATTCAAAACATCCTAACTATATTACCTCGATCTGGTTTCTCGTAGTCACCAGGCCAACTGGAGAAAAAGTTGTAGCAGAAAATTGAATGTGTCCGAAAATTAGAACTACTGGTTCT